TCAAGGCACCTGACAAAAGCTGGGGTGCTCTTGCCAGGTTTTGTGCTGACTCTTACATTTTGCAAGCATGAGCTCAAGGCTCGGAGAAAAGCAAAGAGACACTGCAGGGGATTCTGGGGTGCCTTACAAAATGTGTGGTGAGACCCATTTGTTCTATGTTCTGTTCAATTTCATCCAAGAGGGAAATAAAAGCTGGGGTGAAATTAAAGACACTTCTTTTTACCATACTTTGTGGGCTGAACAAAGATCATCACTGGCTGTTTTGCACTTCAAAAGCAGCTATTTGATGAAATTATGAGCTCTATAGCTTAGAAAGAAACTCCAGGCAACGTCAAAATACCACAAGTACAAGTTCAAGGGCACAGGGCTGCCAGATGTGGTGGCATGCACCTGTAATCCTATCTACTCAGGAGGCTGAGGCTGGAGGATTGCAAGTTCAAGGCCAGCCTGGGCAATTTAGTGAAACCCTGTCTAGAATAGAACAGAATAGAATAGAATAGAATAGAATAGAATAGAATAGAATAGAATAGAATAGGTGAGTGGGCATGGAGGAAGCGTATGACTTAACTGAGTAATTGAGGGAATTTCTTTGTACTAATGAGGCAGTTCAGTATCCTCATTGCAGCCATAGTTACTGGAATGTACAAAGTTCTACAAAACTTTGTAGTACTATAAATACACAAAAAAGAGTGCATGTAAAATGGGTGAAATCTGAATAAGTATGTACCTGAGTTGCTTTGTGCCAACATTAGTTTCCATGTTTTGACAAAATACTGTGCTTACCTAAGGCATCATCATTAGGGGATACTGACTGAAGGGTATTTAGGTACTATCTTTGTGACTTCTTGTGAGCCTTAAACTATATCAAAATCACAGTTATAAAAATCATATTTTTAAAAGAACAACATACCAGAAGAAAATGGGAGAACATTCTGCAAAATAAATATGACACTAAGGAGTATTATCTGGCATGCCATTCAGTACAGTTGCCTACTGAGCATCTGAAAAATGATTAGTTTAACAAGTTTTAATGACAATATTTTGAACATGTTGGATTTAATAAAATATATATTATTAAAGTTAATTTCATTCACTTATACTTTTTTAATGTGACTACTAAAAAATTTATAATTATCTATGTGGCTTCCATTGTGTCTATCTTGCATAATACTGATCTATAGTATATAAAAATTTCTCACAAATTAATAAGACAGACCAGTAGAAAGCTAGACAAAGGATATGAGCTAAAATTCATCAAGAAGAGACAATATACAAACAATAAACATTCATTCATATATTCATTTATTCACTCAACAAATATATACTCAGCTCCTGGGGTCTAAGCACTATGTTAGCTACCAAATTAGTTGGTCTGAAAAGGTCTCTTTGAGGAGGTGACATTGGAACCAAGGTCTAAAAAATGAAAAGATGGCTCACCTGTGCCATTAACTAAAGAAATGTTATTTTAAAATTCTTTTTCACCCTTCAGAATGAGAAAAAAATACATTGATAATATACAGCATTGGCAAAGATGAGGGGAAAAAGACACTTAAATATTCTTAGTGGAAGTATAGACTTGTGTAATCTTTTCGCAGGGTGATTTGGCTCTCCAAATATAAATTCATAGGCTCTTTAACGCTCAGTCTTATTCCTAGGAAGCTACCCTAGGACAGGCTCAAATATATGCAAAAGATATATTAAGGGCTGGGGATGTAGGTAGTGGTAGAGCATTTGCCTGTCATATGTGAAGCCCTGAGTTTGATTCCCAGCACCAGAAAAAAATAGATAGATAGATAGATAGATAGATAGATAGATAGATAGACAGATAATCCACTGCATTGTACTATATAATCACAACAAACTTTAAGTAACTAAAATGTCTATTGGTGAGGTGCAACTATTTAAATTGACTATGAATCCATCAAAACCATCTATACTCTCAGTAAGTATAGTGCTTATATGTAATACTTGTAAATGTGAAGCTATTTGAAAATAAAAATTAACATAGGAAAGATTGTGCCATGATACATTAGGATTCCCCCCCCAATACACAAGAATACAATCCTGATGCAATGTTAAGAGTCTATCAATATAATTCAGCATTTTAAGTCACGAATAGAGAAAGAAACCAGGAATGAGACATATCCAGAAGCATTAGCTTGGAAGTTTGGCCACTCAATATTAAGTGAAAGATAGTAAGTTTCAGACCAAGTGTAGTATGATATTGTCCATATTTTTAGAACAAAGTAAAACAAAACAAAACAAAAAAATCTATTTGTATCTGTGTGTGCATGCATGCACACACGTGGTGTTTGCTTATAAATACAGACTTTACCCAACTAGCTATGTGACTTTGGGTGAATTGCTTTCTTTGTCCTTTAGTTTTGCCATCAGTAAAATGGAAAAATAAGCCACCTTCCTCATAGGATTGTCATAAGGACCAATGAGCTAATTCTTGAAAACTATTAAATATGCTGCCTGGCACATAATAAATGGTCAATAAGTGTTATATATTAAAATTGTTATTCTACCAAAGAAACAATCACAGTCGTGTAAGTTCAGCTTTCCATTACTATAAAATAAGTTCAGCTTTTTTGTTACCACAAAAAGTCTGAGATAATCAACTTAAAAAGAGAAAAAGTTTATGTTGGTTCACAGTTTAGAAGTTTTCAGTCCGTGGTTGTTGGCCATTTTGCTTTGGACCTATGGTGAGGCAGTACATCATGATCACGGCAGGAGCAGATGGTGGAGGAAGTTACTGACCTTATGAAAAGATGGGAGAACCAGGATTCCAAAGCCCCTTGAAGGCCACACCCCCAATGACCTAAAAATCTCACACTAGGCCCCACCTTTTAAAGGCTCCACCATCTCCCAATAGCACCACAAGCTGGGGGCCAAGTTTTTAACACTTTAGGCTTCCGGGGGAAATTTAAGATCCAAACTAGAACAGAAGCCAAGACATTTAGAAAACAAAAGATTTTACTTGAAAAGAAACAGAAGCAAGTCCAACATTCAAAAGGCCAACTGGCCACTTTTTAAAAATCACAAAATAAGCATTTAAAGAAAACAAATGCAAAGTTTGTTACCAGGTTACAAATGCGAAGAGGTTACCAGGAAGTTTTATATTAATCTGTTTGTGGAAAAAACAATACAATGTCTTTCTCAAGAGTTTACAGTATCCCAGAGGAAGTATGTTTAGACCTCGACATTGCCAAAGGCAGGGATGAAGTTGTATTTGCCAAGATTTATGGGAAATTTTCAAGGTTTTAACAGTTGAGGGATCAGGATTAGACAGACTCATTCTGTTGATCTCAGAGAGCAAATTGCTAATTTTTTCTCCAAACAGTGATACATGATGTGCTTAGTCAGAATAGAGGCAAGGGAATATGTCAGTGTTGTTTCCAGGAATCATCCAGAAAAAACATGTAGAAACAAATACCCCAAACCACTAAAACTAGGAAACAATGTTAGGGGAAAAGCTTTCCTATTTGTTGTATATGTTTCTGTAGCATTTAACTGTTTTTCTATGTTCACAAATAGCATTAGTAACTTTTGAAAAGAATAAATAAGATCATATAAATTTGGAATATCTAAAGCCATCTTGATTCTCTCTAGTTCTCCCACTCTAGATGAGATAATTTACATTCTAAGCTCTTTAAAAAATATTTAGAAATTATGCATTTTTCTTTAAGACCAGTTTCCACCATTTTTGTTTGTAGCATCTGCCAAAAAAAAAAAAAAACCAATGCTTTGTATGACATCCCAGCTGGAAGAGGAAGATAATTATAGCTGAGGGCCAGGAGTGTAGCTCAGTGGTAGAGCATTTACCTAATATGCTTGAGGCCCTGGGCTCAATCCTCAGCACTGGAAAGAAAGAAATACAACCAACATCTTAGAGAAGGAGAAAGAAATTCTTTTGGTTTATTGTTCTCTACCCTTAAGTCTGAAGGACACAGAAGTCCTTCAGAAAGAAATTTGAGAATTCTAAGGTTTTCTACCTGATCCTTCCCCTGTATCCTTGAATTTATCCAGCAGATTTAACTGAGGGCAGCCCCATCTCCATGTACCAGGTAAGGAAATGGATTCAGAAGGGGACTCTTATTTTTTTTTGTACCAGGGATTGAACTCCAGAAGGGGACTCTTATAGAGACAAGTCCACACTTGGTACTGAAAGAGGCTTTCATCTGTTTTCAAGGCAACAGTAGCCCCATTTCTGGATTCACTCAAGGCCTCCCTTATGATCCGCAGAAAGATGGTGGTTTGCAATGAGGAGGGTCCTATGCAAGATACCAGTAATATTCCATTGTATACCAGTCTAGACTGGCAGCTGATGATGCAAGTAGGGGAGGAATCATCAATGAACTCACATTTTGTGGGAAAACACGTATTTAGTCATTCATTCAGCTCATACATATTTCTTGAGTTCCTAAAATGTGCCAGACACTATTCAAAGTACTAGCAACAAAGACAATATTTAAATATTTAACAATTTGGCATAGTTACAAAATCAGATAGGATGCTCTGTTGAGCCCAGTAATAACCCTTACAATCCTGGATCAGGTAGAGATCTGGAGGATACAGAGGAGGAGCCAGGATGGCTAGGACTTTGGGGAAGGAAGACAAGCCTCATGGTAGCTGCTACTTATCAACTAGTGAAACATTTTGATAGCTGGGAAAGCTCTATCTGTAGGTACCAGTTGAGTAACAACCTTGGCTCAGACATAGAGATGAACAATTCAGTCCATCCTTTAAACATCCTATGGTAAATGCTCAGGTGAAAGTCATCAGAAAGTACAGAGGCGACAGGAAACTCAGTCTTATAGTTGAAGGAAGGCTTTCTGAAGGAGGTGATAACCATGTCACTTGTTCATCATCCTGGCATGGAGAGGAGCACAGTCCCCAAGGCCTTATAGAATGGCTTTACGTGGACACCCTGAGAATCCTCGCACCTTTCTTTGTGGGTTACCTGTTGTGACTAGCTCTTCCTTTGTGTTCTCCAGTCTCAGAACAGCTACAATGAAGGTGACTACGAAGGAGCAAGGAGGCTGGGGCGGAATGCCAAGTGGGTGGCCATTGCCTCCATCATCATCGGCCTTATCATCATCACCATCTCTTGTGTGGTACACTTCACAAGGAAGTAAGTGGCCTTTTTGAATCCCTCCCAATATTAAATAACTTTTCTCGAGTGTCCATTGGAATCTGTTAGAATGGGTTAAGATATGCTCCAGGAACAACTCAAAACAGAAGGTTTTGTCTTCTTCATGTTAAGTGGGCCATGTAGGTGGGGGAAAGTTCTCTCCTCCACACAGTCACTCAGGATCCCAGGCTGACTAAAACTCTGCCATCTTGAATCTATTCTACCTAGAACAGGACTCAACAAATATCTTCTGAAAAGGGCCAGATAGTAAATATTTTAGGTCTTGCAGGCCATGTGGTCCTTGTCATGGTCTCTTTCACAACTATTTCGCACTGCCATTTTAGCAGGAGAGCAGACAATATGTAAATGAGCATGCATGGCTGTGTTCCAGTAAAACTTTATTTAAAAAGTAGGTATTTTGTCAGTGGTCCACAGTTTGGAAGCCTCTAATCTAGAACAGGAAGTGTCCTCGAGCTAAAGTAGGAGAAGAGGAAGAGAGAATCTCATGTGGACTACTCCCTGCCTCAGCACAGGTGCCACAGATGTCACTTAGACTCACAATTAAATGACTAAAACCAATCATCTTTACCCATGCTTGCTCACCATAAGAAATGAGACAAAGCAAAAGATATTTGGGCTTATTCCTTGGTCTGCCTAATCATGGGCTCTGTAAATGACTTCCTGCATAATTCTGCCTCAAACTGGCCTAATTATTTTCTTTTTTAGCTTAAGGACAGAAAAGCCACCACATGCTTTTGCTATGGCCAGTGAGGCCTTATCTCATAAAAAGAAGGATGCTGTTGAAGTTTCTCCTTACAGTTGGATAAATTTCTTCTGATTAATTAGCTGAGATGAGCTGCCTCTGCTAGAACCAATGATATTTCCCATTGGAGCTTTGTCAGACGACAAGGTGATGTGATAGGCAACCCAAACCCCAAATGACAAGCCCAAATCCATCTGTCTTCTGTGTAAATCCTGGCTACACAGCAAAGAATGCTGAGAAATCCTTTAGCCTTTCTGTCAGAGGAGCATAGCTATTCCTATACCTTTGACTGAAGCATTTTGACAGATCTCCCTGACCAGTGAGGCTCATCTGGGTGGGTGAGAGAGGAACCAGACATTCTTGGCTCTACCAGATCAGGCAACCCAATCTTAGCAACCAAGGGATGTAAATGTCACCCTAGATCACCTTCCTGTTGGACAAGCCAGACCCTGGAGGAGTCAGTGGCAACTGGATGGAGGAAGTGATGTCATAGCAGGAAGTATCCCAAAGGAAAAGTAGGTGGATTTGTTCAAAGAATGGAGAAAGGGATACTAAGGCATCCAAGGAAACAAGTTTTCTTGCTTTTATGACATTCATATCAATATCAACAAATTGACTGAAATTTGATGATGTTAGTCTGTGATGGGGAACATGGTTGGAGAACACAGCCTTCTTTATTCTTTAAATAAGGCAGTGTGTGTGTGTGTGTGTGTGTGTGTGTGTGTGTGTGTGTGTACATGGAGCCATGGAATGTGTGGTTGATGGTACATGTTTGGCACCAGATTGCCTGGGCAGATCTTCCCTGACCACTTACTTACTCATCTTCAGTCAATTGTTTAATCTCCTGAACCTCAGTTTCCTCACTTGTAAAATGAGAATTATAGCAGTTCCTGTTTCATAAAGCTACTGCAAAGATGACCCACAGAATGTGTGCTGTTTGGTGCCTGTTCCTTAGTTGGTGCATTAAATCTGCAGACCATTTCTTAATTACAGTATTACTATCATTATCAACATGACTGAGGGAGGACCTCAGGATTTAGGGTGCCACTGAAAAGCATTCCAGACTTTTCGGTCATGCACCAGACTCAAAGGACAGTGTTCCAAAGGAATGAGGCCAAGTCTTGCCTTGAGATCACACTGCCCAGATCAGTGTTTGAGCTGAGTGTGTTAGAATAATAGCAGCTGACACTGACATAGACCTTGCTGTATGCTAGGTACCATTCAAAGCTCTTACATGAATTAATCCTCCCTGAATCCTTACAGCAACCCAAAGAGGAAGTTATCACCCCCATTTTGCAGATAAGGAAACTTAGGCTCAGAGAGATGAAGTGACTTGTCCAAGATATCCCAGCTTAGTCAGTGGTAAAGACAGAGCTTAGCCAGGCGTGGTAGTGCACACCCATAACCCCAGCACTCAGGAGGGTGAGGCAGGAGATCGCTGCAAGTTTCAGGCCATCCTGGACTTCATAGTGAGTTCAAAGCCAGCTTGGGCTACATAGCAAGACCTTGTCTCAAAAACAACAACAAAAAGACAGAGCTTAAGCGTGGCTCTTTATGCTCTGTTCTTAACCACAACTCCACACTACCTCTGCATCAATGTGTCCCTTCTAGTATATCCCATAACAAAGGCATTAAATACCACTTGCCTTATTGTTAATTCCAGCATTTGTTTATGTGAAGATGGTATGGGAAGTTTCACCTGACAAAATCATTTGATGAGGCAAGGCCCAGGGTCCCAAAGTCAGGCAGGAAACACTCATGAATGAAGCAGCCTGGGCATCAGACAGTAGGGAGTGGTGGGAGCTGTGGTTTAAAGGGAGAGGCCAGCACCTACTGTAGTTCTTATCACTTAGCATGAAGACCTCACTTATAAAGAGATGTTGGAAATCTGAGTTTTTATGTAAAGTCATCTGATTTTTAAATGTTGACAAAGAAGTCACATTGTTAAACCAATGGTGAAGGGCCAAAAATCAATAAACAAAAAACAATAACCATATCTGCAGCCTGCATACTATCTACTTTGCAATCTATGGTAGAAATTTTGGCTTTCAAAGATCAATTTGCCTATGAGAATTATCCAAGAAGTCTGAACAAGGAACCCAGAATTTTTCATATATGATCACTTTCTCCATTCTTAACATAAATGTTTCTATCTGGAGAAGAAATGCTGATCTGTATATGCTTGTGGTTGAAACTTTCTTAGTAAGAATAAAAAGTATGAAAGGTTCAACTCTCCATTTCTAGTTAGAGAATTAGGATCCAAATTGTACTTGGTTTTTTTGGGTGGTGGTGGTGGTTGTTGTTGTTGTTGTTGTTGTTGTTGTTGTTGTTGTTTTGGGGAGGAACCAGAGATTGAACTCAGGACCTTGCGCTTGCCACGCAGGCATGGCACCACTGAGCTAAATCTTCAGCTCCTCCAAATTCTACTTCTAACACACAGACCATCTGGGCAATTAATTAAATTCTCTGAGACTCCATTTCTCTATCAACAAAATAAAGATAGAATTATTTCCCTATCTATAAGGTCAGATTCCTTTTAGACAGCTTTCTGTCCATGTCGTCAAAGAAAATAGCTTTTCATAGTTAGAATTCCATGGAGAAACTCAAATTTAAACTTTGTCATGCATGTGGAAGAGAGAGGAAAAGGAGAGAGAAAAGGACAGGCAAAAGAAAAAGAGATAGAGAGAAAAGGATGGAGGGATGAAGAGAAAGAAAGACACAGATGAAGAGAGAAAGAGGAAAAGAGAGGAAGAACTGACCCTTAGAGAATTAAATCAATTCTATCTTCCATTAAGGTGAATAATATGGCCAATTTCTCAGTAATCCTTGGAAATAAAATTCCCCAGCCCGAGAGGAATTGAATGGCAATATGGAACTAATAAGACAGAGGCTTAAAAGAAATTCTCATCCAGGTCCCACCTCAAAAGATTCCAATTTGCTAAATCAGACATGAGTCCCAGGAATCTGTATTTTTCAGCTCCCCACTCCCACTCCGGGGATTCAGACAATGACGGTTAGTAGAATCCTTTTTGCCAAACCCGGCAAAATCCCTTCCCTTTAAAGTACAAAAGGAAGAGCACACTGATGGCAGCTCTTGATGGAGTGGTCAGTTTTCTTTTACCTCAGTAAACTCATCATCCTAGCTTGTTATGTCTAAGTCAATGCTGGTGAGGGGATAAGGTTACTGCCTAGCAGCTGCAGCCCAAGGAGGCCCTGGTGTAACAGTCTGAAGACAGCAAGAAGGACCTGGGAAAATACAGAGGACACCAAGCCCAGAATGAGACAAAAATCCATTTCTAGGTTAAATTTACAAATATACTTTGAAGGGCTGGGGATTTAGCTCAGTGGTTCCACTGCCTGCCTTGCAAGTGCAAGGTCCCAAGTTTGAACCCTGGAACAAAATATATATATATCTGAAGTAAACTACTGCCTTTAAAAAATTGTGAAGTCCTTGCCTTTAAAAAAATATTAGTCTCAGGTTGAGATTATAGCTCAGTGGTAGAGCACCTGCCTAGCATATTCAGGGTCCTGGATTCAATCCCCAGAACTACAAAACATTAATCACTTTTAAAAATAAAGAATTAATCTTTATCCTTATTGAGAAGATGGTAACAAAGCTGGTGGAGAACAGATTGGATCCCAAATAGGTGAAATCCCAGGTCATTCACTTTCTTTGAATAGTCTCAGATCATGATAGTCTTTACCCAAACTCATAAAAAGGACTCGTTCATCCTAATTTTGTAGGCTATCTATGTAAGCCACAAGGTGATTGAACAAAGAAAGACAGGGTTTCATGTCATCAAATTCCTGAGAACTGAGAATCATTGAACCAAAATATTCAATAGCTCCGGGTAAAATACTGTGTTGACAGAAGGGTTCCGATCTCAATGAAATCAGAAACTTGCCATGTCTCAAAGTCAGAAAATTCTCTGCCCTTAAGTTGCTAGAGAAAGTGGAGAGATGACTCACATACGTGAAATGTTTAAATATTGTAATAGTCTATTTATCAATCCTAATAAATTCAAATCTCCTGCAGGCTTCTACTTTCTCCTAGTGCCTTAAGAATTCAAACAAGGTTAGGTTATTCTCAATGGTCATGTTTCTCAAAGGCCAGGTCTAAGACAACAAATTCAGCTGGGCTGCTTGTAAAAATGCAGATTCCTGGGCCCAATTCAAGGGCTTTTGAACTTGAACTTATGCAGTATCATAAGCAACGCACAAGCAAAATTAATTTTAAGTGTTCTAAAGTTGCTGAGCCACTGTCCTAGCAGTTTGTATTTCATAGGGGACATTCTTGCCTATGTGGACATAGGCCACAAAATAAGACTTTTTTACTTCCCTAAGGTAAGCATTAAACAGTTTTTCTTCCCCTACCTAGTCAAGCAATTCTCCAGCAGACTCGATTTTGTGTCCTATAATTTAACTCAATTCTGACTCCTTCTACCAAGAGTTACAGTCACATCACATGGGCAGATGCCTTATTCCTACAAGATGTCCCCCACTTCACATGCCATTTATAAGCCCCAGATTGTGACCTATGCTTCTGATTGACAAGCTCTAAGTCAGAGGTTCCCATGACCTCCTCGTTCAGGTTCTATGAATTTGCCAGGGAAACACTTCCAATTACTTGTTTATTGTAAAGTGTATTACAAAAGATGTGGCTGAACGGCCAGATGGTGGAAATGGTAGGGCAAGGTATGTAGGAATGTATGAAGCTTCATGTCTTCCCTGTACATGACACTCTCCAGGCATGTGTCAGCAATCCAGAAGCTCTCAGAAACCTGTCAGGGTTTTAGAGGAGGATTCGCCATGCAGGCACAATTGATCATATATATCATCGCCATTGATGATTAGCTTGACCTCCAGCCCTTTTCCCCTTCCTGGAGGTTAGGTACAGCTGAAATTTCCAATCTTCCAATCACACGGTTGGTTCCACTGACAACCAGGCCCAATCCTGAAGCATCCAGGAGCACAAAAAAGAGTCCCTCTTAGAATAAAAGATGCTCAGATCACCCAGGAAATTCCAAGGGATTTAGAAGCTCTATGTCAGGAACTGGGGTCAAAGGCCAAATATTAGAAAAAAAGATTCTCTTGATACAGTACTCCTACCTGTAAGGGTGGGAGGTTCTCAAGAAACAGGGCCAAATCTTTATTTCTTATTGTATCACAGTATCACAATTAAGATACCTAGTAGCAGCTTCAATTATGGTTGCTTCCCTGGAAAGTTTATACACTTCCAAGTTTCTTTCTCCTCCTCTTCCTTCTCCTCCTCCTCCTATTGGTCAGGGTCATGATCATCTATCTAACATGCCACAGAATTCAATGGAACTTCCTTAGCAGAAAAATCAATTGACCATGACAAAGTTTGAATAAAAAGGAGACAAGTATCCATTCTCTGCAACAAAAATGACATTCTCAGGTGATCCTGGTAATACAGTGAAGGTTTATTTTACTTGGGAGTGAGGTTCTTATGTCCAGGCATAAGGTGAGCTTTGAGAATAAACAAATTTAGTCCTGTGGGCATCCATAGAAGGGCACCCTGTACAGACTCACACATGGATCTTGATTGGCCCCACACACCCAGTGAACATTTCCAATGATGGAAAACGTGATGATCTCTTGAGTTAAGTGCCTGCTGGAGTAGTTGGCTGTGTTTATAGCTCTTGGTATCTCTGTAAACATGGGAACCATGCTCCACACTCACACAGAAGGAACAGAAATGATCTTATCATCCATGTTCATGACCATTGAGTGGAGTTGCAGCCAGATCCTCAACTCCATTTAAATGGTTGTTGTTTTTTTCTTTTCAAAAATGTAAGTTAAATGTATATATACAATGTGATCTACCAACTTACATCTCTGAGTTATCTTGAAGATATGGAACCAGCCAGGTCCACACCCAGCTGTATATTAAAAATGCTTGTTTGTCATTCCTAAGAGCCTGTGTGCTTCAAAGTTTCTATTAGGAGAGAACTTGACCTCTAAGCAGGTTTAAGAGCCCCAGGAATGTGTCCCATTAGGAGGCACAGACTGAGCAGATATTAACCTTTCCATACTGAGAAATCTTCTTTCTTACAAACAAACTGACATGAATTCTTCCTTGGCCTCAAAATATCCTGTAATTGTGTAAGGATCAGAAGGAAGCATATAGTATATTGAGGTGAGCATGAAAAAGGAACTTCACCTGTTTTGCAAAAACAAAAGGAAATCCATCTTCTTTCCTCTATTACTGGCTAGAGCTAAACTTTCTGAAAATTGTTTTTGTGTAGATGTGACTTTGGAGATTGTGTGTGTGCATGTGTGTGTGTGTGTGTGTGTGTGTGTGTGTGTGTGTGATTTCATAATGAAAAATGGGAATATTACCTATTTCCAGAAGGTCAGAAGAGTTTTCCTTTGTTGTCTCAGATAAATTGAGGGGGAGAAAAGTCAGACTTAAGTTGCCAACAACAATGGAAAATTTTAACTGTGAAAAAGATACATGCTAGTGGATCATTAATGAAGGAATCAGAATAAACATGAAAAAGATATTCAGCCTCAGGGAAGCACAAATTAGAGTTACAGTGAAATGCTATATTATTTTGTCTGCCAGGCTGAAACAGTTAAAGAGATGGATAATATCAAGCTTGGCAAGGTGTGAAAAACTTGGATACTATACTACTGGTGGGAGAGTAAATTGAGACAGTCTTTTGGGAAGCCAATTTGGATGTACAATCAGCTCTTTGTATCTGTGGTTCCATACTCATAGATTCAACCAACCTCAGGTGAAAAATATTTGGAAAAACAAATTGTATCTGTGTTGAACATGTACCGACCATTTTCTTGTCATTATTCTCTAATCAACACAGTATAACAACTATTTACATAGCATGTACATTGTACAGGTATTACAAAGAATTTAGAGACGATTTGAAGTATACAGGAGGATGTGTGTCAGATGCAAATACCAGGCTGGTTTGTATAAGGCACTTGATCTTCTGTGGATTTGGTATCCATGGAGGGACCTTAAGCCAATTTCTCGGTTACCAAGGGCTGGTCATATTTATTAAATTTTAAAAGCCATGTGCCTGCCCACCAACCTGTCAGTTCCAATTCTCACAACCCATCCCTAGATATAGGTGTACAAAAATGCATATGAAACTCTTATTTTCCACCCTAGCTACACATTAGAATCACCTGGAGAGGTTTAAAAAAAAAATCAATGCCCAGAGTTCACCCCAACCCAATTAAATTAGAATCTCCAGTGATGGCCCAGGCATTTGAGGTTTTAGGGCCCAAAGCCACAGATAAGCAAGGATAGTTGTGACAGCTTTGTTTGAAACAAGGAAAAACTTGAAAAAAAATCTAAATGTCCATCAGTAGGCAGAGTAAATAAGCAGTGGTTTCTTCACAAAATAAGCCAACATACTGCAGCTTAAACATGAAATATCTTTCTTACTATGATGTTATAAGGCCCTGCATGATTTAGTTGCTGCCTCTCTGTTCTCATCTCCCAGCACTCTCCTGATTCTCTACCTCAGCCATATTGGATGCTCCTGTAGTATGCCGTTGCCTCAGGGCTTTTGCACATGCTATTCCCTCTACCTGTAACACTCTTCCTCCTAATAGCCACACAGTTTATTCCTATCTCTCCCTTAAGTGCTTGTTCATATATTACCTTTGCAGAGAGGCTGTCCCTTTATTCAATTTTCCTTGTCATCCTAGCACTTACCACTCCCTGAAAAATTATATATTTATGATCTACTTCCCTCTACTAGGATGAAAACTCCAGGCACATTTTCACTCCTGTCACTGCCCATAATAATACAGCATAGCACTGAAGGGTGCCTACTTTGAAGCTGGACTGCTGCAGTTTCAACCCAGGTTGTACATCTAAGTAGCTGTGTGTCCTTGGCCATGTCTTTGAACTAATGTGTGTCTTAGTTTTCTCTTACATAAAATGGGTATATTTATAGTGCCTACTTCCCAGAGCTGGGAGACTCAAACTGCATAAAGCATAATTCCCAGATTAAATTGCATAAAGCATACTGACACATTGTACCACTGTGTAACTATTGGGATTACTGTCATCAGCACCTATAGCAGTGTCTAGCTGGTAAATATTTATTAAATAAATGGATGAATAAATAAAAGGAAGAAAAAGGAAATTGCAGAACAATATATAATTGGTCCTCCACATCCACGAGTTCTGTATTTGCAGATTCAGCCAACTACAGAAGTAAAAATATTTGCCTGGACCTGAACTGAGCATATACAGACTTTTTTCTCATCATTATTCCATGAACAATACAGTGTAACAACTACTTCCATAGAATTTACATTGTATTGGGTATTATATAGAGATGATTGCAAATATACAGGAGAGTGTGCATGGGTTGTATATAAATGCTATGTCATTTCATAAAAAGGACTTGAACAGCCTTTGATTTTAGTGTTCTTAGGGAGTCTTAGAACTAATCCTTGTGGATACCAAAAGACAACTGTATACAGCATGATCTCGTTCAGTAACCACAAAATGAGTACATAATTTCTCAGTGCAGAGGAAAATACCTGGAGGATGCACACCAAACTTCTAACATCACCTCTCTCCACTGGGGAGAAGAATGAGATTGAGAAATACTGGAGACATCTTTCTGTATCAGTATCATTTGGTGTTTTGCATGTATCATGTGTAAAATAAAATATACTTTCCAAGCCAGGCATGGTGACATGTGCCTGTAATCCTAGCACTCTGGGGTGCTGAGGCAGGAAGATCAAAAGTTCCAGCCCAGTTTGGGTGACTTAGTGACTTAGAGAGGTCCTGTCTCGATACAAAAAATTTAAACAGGGATGGGGATGTAGCTCAGTGAGATAGGTATGGATACAGATTAGATTATACAGATATACATAGATAGCTCCAAATTAAATGGAAACCAGTCCTTAGAGTCAAAAGCATGCAATTTCAGCGCTTGTGTAGCCAGAATGTTCTCCATCTAATAAGGAACCAGCAAGCCCAAAAAGCCCACTGTGGAGGCTTGGTCGCTGTCTTTTTTTCTCACTCTATCTATCTACCACACAGTGCCTGAGGAGCCTGCAGTTGACTGCAAGCATGGAGGACGACCCTCATTCACACACCCAGAAGTTTGTGAGGAATGGATCCTTGACTTTAGACTGTGAGATCTCTTCCTCAGGACTCTCCAGAGGCGGGTCCCTGGCAAATGAACAGCAACAACAAAAAGTCCAAAATTTAGGAAATTCAAGCCATACAGCCACATCAGCCAATGTCATTGCTTTGTAAAAAAGAAGAAAATGAAATCTCATTGTGTCCACTGACAAGCTCTTTGTGTGCATCCTTCTTCTCCAGAGATGACTTCCAGAGATCTCATTCCTCTCCATTGGGTAGGGGTCTGGATCTCGGAGGTAGGAGGCTCCAGGAAGATGCTGGTGTTTATAGCATCAAGAACAAACGTTTGCAGCATGTTTAAAGTTATCTAAGACAGTTAAATCCATGGGTTACTTTCCTTTCATTTTTTTCATGATGTAGATTTGCTTCAATCTTTAGTAACTGCTTCCCCATCAGCACTCCCAGAACCCCCTAACCAGGTCATCAAAGACCTGAAGACTCTCTGGCCTTCTGTCTTGATCCTTATTTTTCCTAATAGCACCCCATCCCCAACTCTCTTGCTTGCATCCACATTGGTCAATTGCTCATAACCTCAATCTTCACTCAAGCCGACTCTGAAAATGTACTAAGGGGTCAATCCTAGGCTAGGAGCATCCTCTCCATCCCAAGTTTGGGAATTGTCTGCGTTTACAGAATATACTCCCCCCAACACCTACCCTCCTAGTAGCTAGTCTTTCTCCCTCTCTTCTCAAGCAAGGTTTTTGGTTTTCCTGGATCCCACCTGGAAATGTTACCCCTCTGTATTTCTTTTCTGTCAAAGGCAAATCTTTTAGGTCTGAATGAGTTGGTTTGATGACACCATTATTCTGCCTGCCAGGACATGCTACCAGGGTGTTTTGCCAAGTATGTGCCACAGGTGGTACACAGATAATTTCGAATCTGTTCATAGACACATTCATTGATACTGAATCCATAGTAACCCTTTTCTATTCTTTTTCAATCCTGATTACAGCAAGGGGAAAGTCTGTTTTGGTCTAATGGGTCCTTAACACCTTTCTGACACTATGGTTCCCTGGTCTTTTAAACAAAAAGCAGCCCTCAGGCTTGGTCTTCTGTCTACAGAGAATTCAATGATGCCGTTTTGTTTGCATGGTATTTATTTTATGTATTACTTTCCATTTGTGGCTTTGCCAAGATGTGTGTGCTATATTGTTTCTGTTCAAATAAATTTACCTAAAAATAAAAGGACTCAAAGACAAATAGCAGGTAATTAACATAACAAGTGATATATATGTATATAAATGACAAAGGTCACTTCAAGAAGTAATGTTAGAAACACGGTGGTTACAAACTTTTAGATCTAAAAGAAAAGGCAGCTTATTCTAATTGAATGATCAAGAGGCTGAGAGTCAAAATACCTTTTTCTTTTTTCATTTACTAGCTATGCAAGCTGATTTGAGACACGTTTCTTAGCTTCTCTGTGCTTCAAATTTCTTCAACTGGAAAATGGAGATAAGAATGTTTGCCTACTTACCTCACAATGTTATAAAAATTGTCATAAAATATGAACCCCTGGGGGGAAATTCTAAGTGCTGGGCAAACACAAAATATGGTTCTTAGAACATTTTAAATCTTAGGCATTTGTTAAAATACTGAACCCTAGCAAAAAGATAAAAGCTGATAGACACCGGATTCCACCTGTCAGTTCACCCAGATGTCTGTCGTGAGTCAGCACTTGTCCCAGGAGGACACTGAGTCAGGGACATGAATTCTCAGCCTACAGGGATGCTAGCACCATTCCAATATATTGGATCTTGATTTCTGACATTTTGTTATTTGTTTATGTGTGTTTGGGTCCCTTCCTAGTCTTTTATCCAAATCAGATGAAAAGTGATGCTGAGAGGCAGAATAAAAATGGTTTTAAGACTGTCTACTATGGTATGTGAGTCAAGCTTCCTTAGGATTCCCATCGTTCTAGACATTTCCATAACCAAAATGTGCCCATCTATCTCAGCCTCCTTCCATAGAGAAGACCATAGAGAGGACAGGGATGGGGCTAGAGAGGCATTCTCCGAATTAACATGGCCTGCAATGCCCTTTTATGATGAATCTCAAATGTTGGTTCGGCTATAATCAAAATAAAGCAAGAAAAATTCTATCACTGAGTGAGATCCTTAGAATTAAGGAGGCTCTGATTTTTTCACTCCAATGCTGACAAAGTGGGATCCCTGTATTCCCCAGGACATTCTCCAAAGCTGAAATCCCCCATTTGCTCTACTATCAAAAGCACAATTAGAAAAAGGATTGATCTGATGCATCTCCCAAGAGACTTTTTCATTAGCCAGTGACAAAGACTGGCTAGAGCAAAAAGTGAAACTTATTGTTTGTGTATCTGAAAATTCCAGGGTAGCATCAGGGATGGCTGGGTCTTGTTGTTCAGTGTTATCAAGAACTTGTCACCTACCTTTGGCAGCCTGAATTTGTTGAGTTCATTTTAGCTTCATTGTTTGTTTGTGTTTTGGGTACCGGGGATTGAACTCAGGTCTTTGCACTTGCGAGGCAGGCAATGGAACCAGTGAGCTAAATCCCCAGCCCTATTTTAGCTTCATTATGATGAGATGGCTACCATTAGCTTTGGCTGTCTTCCTATCAAATGAGCAACACCTGTGGAAGTAAAATGTTTCTGCCTTAATAGCTCTACGAGAAAAAAAAAAAAGGTTCAATTCAAAATAATGCACAATTGATTCAAAACAGGAAGCCGCCCATCAGAATAGATATGACCCATTGACAAAGAGATGTGAGCACCTTATCCACACAAACTGATGCTTGGCCAGGAGTCTTAGGCCTCCTCTTTACCCAGGCCTTAAGTCAGTATTGAACCACAGGTGTTGAGTGTGAGGTTAACTCCACGCAATCTTTATGGATTGAGAGTGTGGGAAGCAGTGGTTCCCCAAAGGAAAGCCAAAGTGCTTTTACCAGAAGGAGAGACAGATGCTGGGCAGAACAAACAACCACCGTCCACATTAAACATTCTGCTTTTAACTATGCTTTCCACACACAGGGCTACAGGAAATCCAAGCTTTTCGAACCATTCCCCCATTGTGCTGTCACTCACATCCATTTCCTCATCTGGTCAATATGTATAGAATACCTGCTCAACCATAGATACTGGACCAGGCTTTGAAAATTCTAATATGATCAAGCGGGACCCCTGAAAAGGTTGCTCGCAATCTAAAGGAAGGGAAAGGGCACATACACAAACAAGTTGAAGGAACTGCAAGAAGCATGACCAGAATATTACACTTGTATAATCCTTGTAGGAGGGAGCTCTGGCTATATGTTAGGGACGGAGGCTCTGGGAACAAGCATCTCTGTCCCACCTGCTCTTTGTATTGCTCTGGCTGATGTGGCTATTGCTCTTGAAGTTGCCTGGTCTTTGCCCACAAGTTATGGGCAGAAGCAGATGCAGACATAAAATCGCTGGCCTCAGCTCCTGGATCAGCAAATTATCTTTGGCCTACACCAGGACAGCTGCATTCAGCAAAACAGCACTATGCATGTATCTTGATATGTAACCTTAGATCCAGGCTTCTAAATATAAGAGACAGTTTTGGGCCACCAATTACCAAAAAAAAAAAATCTAAAATCTTCTATAATAGTGTGTACCTTCATGGGTTACCACTAACTCTTAAAAAATGGATGTTGAATATTTCAGACCAGGTAATTACCCTATAAAATATGACCCTGAACCCAGATATTTTTAATTCCAGTTTTGACAAATGCAAAAAGAAGCATAAATGCTACTCAAGCTGGAGAAGCCATAGAAAGAAGGAATTCCCTTTCCAATAGATTGATTGGTTGATTAATGGATGGATTCCAAAAGAAATTTATCGGAGATCAGGAGAGAGAAGTGCAAAATCACCTCTGTGCAGTCTGCATGAGGCATTTGGGTTTCACCCTGGGTGCTTGTTCCAAACAGGTTGAGCACCCTGTCGAGTCTACAGCACTCAGGCCATAGTTTGACTCTCTTCCTGTCCAAGTGTAGATTTTCCCCCATTTACATCCACAGACTGGTTCGCTGCCTTGCCCTGCCATTTGGCTTTTCCCCAAGTTGTCTGCTCCTGACCCTGCCATTTTCATTCCCTTGGAATGACATGGAATCCTGTGAATGGGAACTAGTTGTGCTTTGGTGTAAACATTGGGAGGAGCTCCTTAAAGGCCAAATCTTGCCTCTTGAGAGGTGACAAAAGGCCTGATGACTTAGCATGAAAGAGGACCTCACACAAGTCTTCACACCTAAGAGGGAAGGTAGGTAAGAGCCATTTCCAAAGCTCATCTAAACAATTACAGTAGCCTCCTTACAAGGTTCCCTGTGTTTTACTTTCTGATTGATGGTGTTACAAATATTACAAGCATGGGGACTTCGCCCAAATGTATCAACTTATGGTTTTGGAGGTCAGATGTCTTAAATGGGTCTCACTGGGCCAAAATCAAGATGCCATCCTTTCTGGAAGCTCTTTAAGAGAATCCCCTTTCTTGACTTCTCCACCTGCTAGAGGTTGCCCATATTCCTTGGCTCATGCACAGGAAATAGTACCAAGAATCAACAAATGGGATCATATCAAATTAAAAACCTTCTACATAGCAAAGGAAAAAACTGAGTGAAAAGACAATCCACAGAATGGGAAAAAAATTTCTCCAGATATTCCTCAGACAGCAGACGACTAACATCCAGAATGTATAAAGAACTCAAAACATTAGACTCCCCCAAAATAAAAGACCCAATCAAAAAAATGGGCAGCTGAAATGAATATATAGTTCACAGAAGAATAAACACAAATAGCTAATCAATACTTGATGAAATGTTCAATATCACTGGCCATTAGATAAATATAAATTAATTAAAACAACACTGAGATTCCATCTTACCCCAGAAAGAATGGTCATCATCAAGAAATCAAATAATAAGGAAAGAAGGGAAAACAAAAAATATAAGAAAAGAAAAAAAATGGAAACAAAGTCTTTGCAAATAGGGAAGGGTGGAGGGGGTGAAGGGAGGGCAGGGGAAGGGGAAAAAAATAAGAACCAAGAGACTCACATAATGGTACAAGATCCCAATGATGAATGTAACTGTATTGTATACCTAAAATGTACCAATAGTCTTAGTGGAAAAAAAAAGAAATCAAATAATAACAAATGTTGGCAAGGCTGTGGGGTGGGGGGAACCCTTCTACATTGCTAGTGAGAATGTAAACGAGTACAACCACTATGGAAATCAGTATGGAGATTCCTCAAAAAACTAAACCTAGAAATTCTATGTGATCCAGCTAGTCCCCTTCCGGGTATCTTCCCAAAATGGTAAAAGACATCATGTTATAGTGACACATGTATAACCCCTGTTTATAGCAACACAATTCACAGCTAAATCTTGGAGGCAGCCGATATATCCATCAAAAGATGAATGGATCAAGCAAATGCAATATCTACACACAATGGAGTACTATTCTGCCATAAAGCAAGACAAATTTGAGTCATTTGTAGGGAAACAGACCACAATTTTAAGTGAAATAAGTCAGACTGACCCACAAGATTAAATATTGCATGGTTTTTTCTTTTTTGAGAAACCCAAATTATGAATAAAGTGCAAAATTAAAATAGTAGGAAGCAGGGAGATAAGTCTTTCTCAAATTGGAAGAGGGTCAAGAGATGCCGGGAGAGGGAAGGGAAAGGATTTTTAAAAGGAATTAAGATGTATTCTGTACATGGACAAGCTCCCCACAGTAAATGTAATCATTATGCACCACAAACATGTACTAATTTTTTTTATAGTCACCAATGGCCACTCAACCATTTCTCACACTGCATCTCTCTTGTTGTGACTCCTTTGCTTCCTTTTTCCCAACTTAAAGACTTGTCGTTACCTTAGACCTACCCAGATAGTCCAGGATGAGCTCTGTATTTTAAGGTCAGCTGATGAGCAAACTTAACTTCATCTGCTCCATTAATTCTCCCATGCCATGTAGAATATTTGCAGGTGCCAAGAATTACTATGGGGTTGTCTCTGGAACAGCATTATTTTGCCTTTCAGACTCTGTCCCACAACACCCACACGCAGCAGCCAGGGTGACTTCAAAACCTAAAATGAACTCCACCATTCCTCTGCTGAAGCCTACAGGCCACCCAATGGCCTCCCATGCACTTAAAACCCAAATTTTTACCATAGCCTGCAAAGCCCTACAAGGATAGGCCCAAAGCTGTGCTCAGAGCTCATCTCTTACCCTCTCCCAACCTCTCTGCTGCAGCCACTCCCTGGATTTTCTATTGTTCCTCAAATTTGTTAAGATCATTCCTGCCTCAGGACCTTTGTATGTGCTGTTTCCTCTGTCCACAAAACTATTACCCAGATTTTCACATAGCTGGCTCTTCCTCATGCCCTGGGTCTCAGTTTCTGAGAGAGGGCTACCCTAAGTCCCCATCTGAAGCAGCCTCTCCACTCTTAATCACTTGCTATCATATCACCCTGCTTTTTTTCCTCCACAAGACTTACCACCACTTACAATTTTCTTGTTTATTCAACTATTTTATTTATTCTCTTCTTTATTGTTTACTTGCTTATTCTTTATCTCCTCCCACTATGATGTCAGCATACTGAGGCCAGAGACTGCTCTACAATGATGTATCTGAGCAGTTAGGATAGTGCACAGCACATGGCAGATACTGCACACGTGAAGCATGATCACAGTGTATGGTCAATGTTTACATTTAAAACAATTTAGGGGCTGAGGATGTAGCTCAGAGGCACTGCACCTTTCTGGCAAGTGCAAGTCCTGAGTTTGATCCCTGGTGCTAAAAGACAATTAAAAATAAAAATTTTAAAATAACATTATAGTAAATAACACATTGTCATTAATCCCCCTCAAAATACTTCTGTCTTAGTGACTTT